AGGAATTTCTGAAATCTCCCATACACTAGAGTCATCGTGATGCTTCATCAAAATTTCTTTACCCTAAAAAGGTATCTCTCCCCCAGAATGTTTGAGTACAATGAACACCAAACTTACTACCACTACGTCAATGCTGACTCACAGCGACACCAACACCCTGTTTATTCTGTGGCTTTACATACCCAGAACACTATCTGCTCCAGCTGAGAACATACTTCCTCTTCCCAACAAACATATCAATGTCATACTTCTTCAATACCCACCATCCTACCTTGAATCCATTACCACGCGAAAAGGAAGCCTTACTCAGCCCCCAATACTGCCTCTTTCATGTCCAGTGAAGCGACATTGGCTTCTCACCTCTACTGGGAAGACTTGTGCTCACATCCTTCACAACAACCAAGGTCTCCTTGGCTTTCTGACTGGGCTGCACTAGAGCCTGCCTGGGCAAGAAGGTGAGGAAGTGCTCCAGCACCAGTTGGTGTATGGTCTTGGGCCCACTTGTGGCATCACGAAGTAGGTCCTGGCCCAGCTTGGAATTTGGAGGAACTCGCAGTACAAATGATTGCTTTGGCTTTGGGGGTTTGGGAGCCACCTTTGCAGCCATTGTGCTTTGCAGCCACGCTTGCTCTGCAAGACTTCAAGAGCCACTTCTTACTGAAGGAAATATGACAGACAACCAAGCTGCAGACAAGAGAAACCATGGATTAGTTACATGAACAGGCAAGGCATGACTGCACCCTCAAGAGGTGACCTGAGATCACTTAAGAGTAAAATTAGGTAGGGAAAACTCAGTTCTCTGAACAAGGGTCTCTTAGAAATGGCTGAAAGAAAGAACTTGACCCCAAAAGCCAGAGGATTTCCAAACCCAAAGGGCCCAACTGGAGAGAGCAGACTTCCAAGGGCCATCTTCCTGGGAAATACAGGATGAACAAGGCACTGAGAAAACTTCAACTCGTGCTGGTAGAAGACAGAAATTCTTTAAGAGCATCTTGCTTAGAAGTCAGGTTAGCCACTGAAACGTGTCAAATGGTGCCTCTGCACACTTCCCTCCGGTGCCCTTCAGGAGCAGTTGACCCTCCAATAATGCCATGTCGGGAAGTAACCACACATGGCTTGCTGACTCGTCGCCATTGTCAAAGCCCAGCTAAGAGAGGCAAAGGAAGTCACACTGGGACTTCCGACAAGGAGCCCCATTATCGCAAAGCTCAATGGCAGCATCGCTTGGGGCATGGCCATGGCCCCCTATAGGGCCTGTCTGTCCCCTGCCACCATCTCAACGGACCCTCAGCCTCTCTCACGGACCCTACTCACCTCTCGGGACCTCTGCCGCTGCAGGACACTCCTTGGGGACGCAGCCCAAAGACCCAGGACCAGCGAGCGCCCAGGAAACTAAGCGCGAAAGGCCAAGCCCAACCCTCGCCCTTCGGAGAGTCTTCGCAAACCGCTATTGGTGCGCACCGCTGTCAATTGGGCAGGGATGCCTTCTGGGAGACCCGGTGCCTCCGTCGTGACGTCACGCCCGGTGCCTCGTTTCCGGCGGGTCAGCCTGGTCTCCCCGTTCGGAGCGAGCCATCTGCGTCTGA